GTGCACCAGGCTGTGTTGTCTCAGCAGCTGGTGCACCGGGCTGTGTTGGTGCACCAGCAGCAGTTGGTGCACCAGGCTGTGTTGTCTCAGCAGCTGGTGCACCAGGCTGTGTTGTCTCAGCAGCACGTGCACCAGGCTGTGTTGTCTCAGCAGCTGGTGCACCAGGCTGTGTTGTCTCAGCAGTTGGTGCACCAGGTTGTGTTGTCTCAGCAGCTGGTGCACCAGGCTGTGTTGTCTCAGCAGCTGGTGCACCAGGCTGTGTTGTCTCAGCAGCTCGTGCACCAGGTTGTGTTGTCTCAGCAGTTGGTGCACCAGGTTGTGTTGTCTCAGCAGTTGGTGCACCAGGCTGTGTTGTCTCAGCAGCTGGTGCACCGGGCTGTGTTGTCTCAGCAGTTGGTGCACCAGGCTGTGTTGTCTCAGCAGTGGTGCACCAGGCTGTGTTGTCTCAGCAGCTTGTGCACCAGGCTGTGTTGTCTCAGCAGTTGGTGCACCAGGCTGTGTTGTCTCAGCAGTTGCACCAGGTTGTGTTGTCTCAGCAGTTGGTGCACCAGGCTGTGTTGTCTCAGCAGTGGTGCACCAGGCTGTGTTGTCTCAGCAGCTGGTGCACCAGGCTGTGTTGTCTCAGCAGCTGGTCCACCAGGCTGTGTTGTCTCAGGCAGCTGGTGCACCAGGCTGTGTTGTCTCAGCAGTTGGTGCACCAGGCTGTGTTGTCTCAGCAGTTGGTGCACCAGGCTGTGTTGTCTCAGCAGTTGGTGCACCAGGCTGTGTTGTCTCAGCAGTTGGTGCACCAGGCTGTGTTGTTTCTGCTGGTGACAAATTAAGGTGTGTTGTCCTAGCGCGTCTTGTGTACCGTAACAAAGGAAGCCAGGGAGGAGCTCGAGCGTTCTCGACGTTAAGAAACACCAGCCTTTGTTTCTGTTGTTCTATTGTTACCTGTACCTTCTCCACTGCTGGTGCTGCTACTGCTGTTACCTCAACTGCTGCTCTTGCTGCTCCTGTTCCTACTGCCAGCGCGTAAATCACACTGGCTACCGCCCGAGCATCAAATAATTCTATAACGCAATTTTCCTTTGCACTCAGTTTATTCCCATCGTTCCTCACAACTTGTATGAATGAATGGCAATCTCTGAAAAATTAACATTGGGCATTAACTAGCTTCTTCTAGGACATGAAATCACAGTGTAGAATTTTGTTTATGGACGTACTTTAGTTTGAATGTTACATGATTATAAGGTGATCGGTGTGTGTAATAATCATAAAAATAATAATAATTAACAGTTTATTGAAGGAACATGGCAGCGGAAGGCTGAAAATATACAATAAACAGACATTATAATTATTATATTCAGTGAAATATGGGAGTGATTCACATGATTGACGAAAGTTTTCAGGACAGAAAGATAAGAAACACGGAGTGAACACAAATTAACTACACATCAGATAGTAGGGAAGCCGGTCCCATAAACTGCCTTGTGACTTGATAGTGGCGCCAACAAAGTCCTTCCCACGGTTCGGTCCTACGGAGGTGCTAAGGGCAGTCCTGGCCGGTCCCTCCCTCGGGGTTGTCACAGCCTGCACTTATTTCCCTCACCCATCACGTAGTCCTGGTAGGTCTTGTTCCTCATTTGATGTAGTTAGGAGTTCTCATTTCTCATCTGGTGGTGTAGGGAGTCCTCATATCTTTCCTGATGTGGCTGCCAGTCCTCAGTTGAGGTGGTGGTGGTGGTAGGCGGTGAGGGCGATATGAGCCGCCACCACTGACCGCCCGGCACTAACTTGTCACTGTCATACACTTGTTTTCCTTCGTTTTGAGTTGAATTGGTCCCTTCTGTATATCAGTTGTGGGTTGAGCGTCAGTTTCTGCTCCGTATTGTTTGTGGGAGGATGTTGATAAATCCAGGTTGGGAGGAGGAGATGTGATGGGGGAAGGGGGAGGGAGACCGGCCTGCCTGGCAGCTATATTCGGGTAAGAAATGACTACGCCGCGTGAGCTGAACAGCGCCTAGTACGTCATCACGCCAGGCGAACAGTGTGTGCGTGCGTGCGTGCGTGCGTATGCGAGTGTGGTATGTGTGCGAGTGTGGTATGTGTGTGTGTGTGTGTGTGTAAAGAAAAACCAAAAATAAAGATGACAGTTTCCATGATTCCCGGTGCCAAGTTTGGTATTGCCCCGTGTCAACAAGGTGGTGTCTCCCCATAAATAAGATACTTTACCTAATTGTTAACTTACTATTATATTAATTAGTTAGGAATAAATATAACCATTTATTAAACAGTAACCGCCCTAAGTAGGTCATCTCTTATTACTGGTGCTCGATATACTGTAGTCACTATGAAGTCTTTGGACGAGTAATGGTTCCTTGTTTTAGCTTCACTCTATTTGGAACAGGGATGGTAAGAGATGAGAGTCTTTCACTGATAATAGGTTACAAGTGATAGTTTTTGCCTTAACTCTATGCCAATTAGTGTGACGCAATATTATACCCGACGTTGTAAACTTGTGGAGGGATATTACGAGAACTGTAATCGTGAAACCAAAGTTGAACCTCTCTGTTTTAGAACGATGTAGCAGACAAATGTGTGTGGTTAACTGCCAGGTCGTTTGTCACACGGCCGCTGCGGGAGTTGGACAGTCGTGTCACACAGGCTCTAACACCTGGCTGCTGCTCACCCATTATAGATTTTTTTTTCATCACAATGACACGAGCTACAGGACACACGCCGCCCACCCCAGCGTCTGTGTCGGGGGAAAACTGATCAGACGAGAAAAGGAGATTATATACTTTAATAATACTCGTATATACGCTGCTGTGAGTCACTTTTGGGGGGGGAATTGACTCGGGGAATAAATTATGCATGTGAGCTGTGGAATGAGGAAATGTGTTGGATCCTTGGTCAGAAAACATCCCTGTCACACAGTTTATTGAAAAGAGAATTTTGTGTAGTAACTTTCACATCTTCCTCTTCAGATAGTCAGTGGTAAAGGTTAGGGGTCGGCTTCCCGGATCTCTCCCTCTCACGTTACCTGTCTCACCTATTCCTCTACTGTCATGGTGGAGCAACACACACTGGCTCATCACGTGGTTTATACATTTGGTGACACAACGACTAAATATTCTCATTAAGCTGAAATATTTACCAACTGGTCATTCTGAATTAAAACGTAAAACAAATATCCAGCTATATTTCTCTCACCACAACAAATTAATTAGTTATCAACTCTGATCCGCTTGTGGGGGAAATAATGTTTTTCGTTTATTTGCTTTAAAATATAACAGCAACTCAGCGTTAAGTTCCGATACAAAAAAAATATGAAAAATCTTTAATAGAAGTTCTTTCCGAGGTATTTTTTGATGGTCACATTTCCTCACCAGTTTTGCGGCCAAATTTATGGTGGCCACGTCGGTCAGGCTCTCGAGGGGAGGGAGTAATGTATCAATATGTAACAGACTTACCTCAGGTGTACAGACGCACAGAAAATAATCAAACTTAAGGATATTTGTGTGTGTGTGTGTGTGTGTGTGTGTGTGTGTATTATTTGGGCCGTGATGGAAGGAAAATACCAAGTTGAAAGGGAAAAAAATATAAGCGAGGAAATATGTAAATTCAACATTTTGGTTCTTAAAGGCCGCCACTTTTATAGATGTGGAAGAACGCCATTCCCAGCAGGCACAGGGAGAGAGACTTATTCAGCCCCCCCCCATATGAAACTATCTCTCGCCTGACCACTCCAACATCGACCGCGTGAAAGATGACATACAGAGCCGAAGTCATCAATCCTGCTGAGGGTGTCCTGCTGGCTGTACCTCTGGGTTCCGACGCCGCCGCTGACCTTCTCGAAAACTAGCTGGATGACATGCTGAGGATGGGAGAAATACTACGTGATCTTGATGCTCTTGAAGACACGTACGGCCTCACAAAGTACCGTACTTGTGATGTGGTCCTTCTTCCCACTGTCACGGGTTAAGTGGACACGAACATGTTTATAAAAGCTCCAAAGTTCGACCCACAGTTGAGACGATCACTGCTCTCACATTATTCAGAATTTGGAAGATCACCGCAAAAATCCGTTCCAATTTCTATATCTCTTGTCCTTCCTTGTGGTTATGGCTTCAATCTGTTACCTTAAACAAAGTTCAGTCTGATTATTTACACCTTTACGCCATCCATACACGTCATCTCGTGAATAAAAAAATAATTAATTTTCCAGTTTTCCATATTCGAATCTACATAAATCCGTCAAGTTATTCTTTCCTAACTACTATATTATTCTGGACTTATTTTCAGAAATAAAAAATAAAAAAATAACCACACGATAAGGTTGATGACGTGAAGGTAAACAGACAAAGAAAACACCTTAAAAAAACAAAAAACAAAACACGTGTGGACACCTTTCACTACCAAGCCTGGTGTCGATATCTCCTACCGGGTCTTTATCTCCGCCATTCTCTGATTTTAAACATTGACTTATATTCTATGGCTAAAGCTTATTCGGGCTTGGTGGTGATGTCTTAAGATTTTCTCTCTTGCGGTGTCCTGTGTCTTCATACCTTTGTTATGCCCTTGACCCCTAGAAGTAATGAATGTACACACACTTCCTGGAGGCTCTCCACTTCACCAACTCTAGTGATGGTATCTCAAGGATCCAATTTGTGTTATGGTAAAATTGAAGTAAAATCTAATAGTCCCCCACACGACGCCCTACCCGGAACCCGATCTTGCGGCGTGGCTCTGGTCTCCCCTCCACTCTCCCTCTTTACCATATTACTACAGTATTTTTTGCAGCTTCGGAGATTATTTCCCTGAACATTGGTCATTAGAGTCCTTCAGTTAAGGAGTTATTAGTACAGTACAGTCACCCTGATGGGGGTCTTCTTCCTATGTAATTATATTTATTATGAGATGTTATTCAGTAACTGTAAGTTTTCATTATTCAGAATTTATATTGTATATTTAGAAACTAATAGATTGTTATATATGTGTATATTTGTTCTTTTCAGACCCAGTTGGTGTTCTACACAAGTCAGAGTCGATTCATGATGCACAATGATGTCTGAGTGCAGAGTTGATTTGTGCGTGAGATGAGAAGACGAGTTGGCTACTGCCAGCACTCAACGCCGTGTGAGCACATCTCCTGCCTGACTACTGGCGCTCTTAAGCACGGTGCTGCTCATACTGACAAGTGTGCCGCGGGAGGTCCTGAGACATTATGCCGCGGGAATTCCAGCATCCCTTCCACAAGCTGCCGTGGCTTTTGGAGGAAGGGTATGACTCCCTAGAGGACTTGGAGTACATAGACGGGGGAGTGTGTATGTATGGGGAGCGACCCAGTGTCCTCCCGCTGTGGGCAAGTGACGGCGAGGCCCACAGTTCTCATAGGCGGCAGTACAATGTGGGTGATGTGACGGAGGAGGGCAAGGAGGTGGTAGCGCCTCTCATTGATCCCCGGCGAGCGGTGCTACTGCCGGGTTACGGCCAGGAAGACCTACCCGTGTGGCAGCGACCTGACCCACCTGCATATGTCAATGGTGCCTCAAGAACATCCAATGCCAAGAAGGATAATTTCGATATACCCAAGATAGCTGACACCCAGAGCCCGACAGACTCTGACGTGACGGAGGACGGGGACGATGCTACCACCAACACCAAGCCCACCACGGACACACACCACACCCTCGCCGCCGAGCCCTCCGAGTACTATAAATCCATAGGGCGTTTGTCGGTGGATTCCTTAAGACGTTCCTCAACTCTCACTAGGATAAATGAATTCTTACAGCGTGCCCGCTCGGAGGTGTTCGAGGGTGAAGATGGGATGACTGCCAGGGAGCGTATCAGACACCTGCTGAGGAACTCTCACACCGACGACGCTCAAAGGTAAGTACAGCATCGCTCTCACAGCTATTGTTCATCAGTGATCCGTTCTTGCAGTATTCCTGAAAATCATCCAACTTGTTTCACATTCTTACCCTCACACTGTGACCTATACTCAGGCTAGGGTATGATGACTGGCCAGGGCGTGTCACGTGGGCTCTGCGTCACGTGACACAGACAGGATGAGATTGGATAGTATATCTCTGCCTGTGGTCTGGTTATATGTGAGCCAGTTGGGGTTTTATGACCAGCCGATGGTAATATGGTTATGCTACGGGTACTGACTCACACTGGCTGTCAGCCACACATTGCCTCATCAATGAAGATTTGAATCTGGGACCATCCAGCACGATAACCAATCCGGCACCCTGTGTATGGAAATGAGAAGAACAAAAATCGGGCACAAATACAATCTTAGTCCAGAAGCCTGAGGGAGCGGGTTAGTCTTCACTACCGCTTGTAAACGTCCTTCCTACACACCGGGGCTACACGTTTTCTTGCTAGAGGCTACGATAATGATCCAAAACTTTGCAGTAATAAAAAATGAACAGTAATGATCAGGGCGAGACGGGGTCAGTCTCTGAGGCCCTCGACCCCCACATAACTACCTGGTTGTCTTTTGTTTTAATACGGGTAACAATAATAATGTTATTTTAAATAGTCGATTATCGAAACTCAGGTTGACTTTCCTTAATAAAATCAACACTCTCTCCCTTTTAATTATACCCTATAAATTCACAAATAAGTAAATTATGGAAATATCCAGTGATGTAGAGGACTGTGTGGTGGACTAAACCATTTTCCTGAACAAGAGAGACACAGGATAATATTACCCAAGTGGTGTAACATTATTTATCTGAGTCACCCGGGCCAGTTTGCTGCTCTGACATGAATATTAAGGAACCGTTTTAAGCAAATTGGCCAAAAAAATGCTTTTAGAAATATTAGTAAATAAAAAGTATAACGTAATAAAATGATAATCGCATGGGCCAATCAGTACTGGAGGTCACTAGGATTAGGTTAGGATTAGGAGCATTTTTAGCTGACATCTATCCTGTCATTTGTTTACCATTAATGAAAGGCTAAGGATTAGGTTAGGATTGGGAGCATTTTTAGCTGACATCTATCCTGTCATTTGTTTACCATTAATGAAAGGCTAAGGATTAGGTTAGGATTAGGAGCATTTTTAGCTGACATCTATCCTGTCATTTGTTTACCATTAATGAAAGGCTAAGGATTAGGTTAGGATTGGGAGCATTTTTAGCTGACATCTATCCTGTCATTTGTTTACCATTAATGAAAGGCTAAATATTGAGCTCCAAACACCCTGACACACACACCATCAGCTTAACAACTTGGCTCAGCTGAAGATTATCCCCTACAGGTCCTCGGTGTTGTAGGGACGGGGCGTATTATTGGTGGTAATCTCTTTTGCTTAAGTTAGTTGTGTACACAGGTATAGTTGATAGGTTATATACGTAAGGTGTCACATGAGGGAGGATTTGAAGTTGGTACGATATTGTTTAGGGAATGTGTATGTATGTATGTATATATGTATGTATATATGTATATATGTATGTATGTATATATGTATGTATGTATATATGTATGTATATATGTATGTACGAGTAGGTATGTATGTATGTATGCATGTATGTGTAGATAGACGCCTATAATATATTTGGGTTTAAATGGAAGTTTTACGTCAACTCTCAACCCCTAAAATTCAGTTGTACTGTATATAGCTCCTCAAGACTCCTGAACAATCATTAATATAAAATTGTGTTGAGAAAATATGACACAACTGACGTAGGATTTTGACAACCCTACCGAGACAACAGGAGTCACAGTGTTCATTCTGAAATTCATCGATCACCCTTAGTACAGAGAGTTTTTTGAGTGACTACATATGTAACTTGAGGGACTTATAGATAGCACGTTAGAATCCATTATACTGTATGTTGAATGGGAAAAATTACTGCAAATTTCATCATGATTTGAATACCGGTATATCTATGGGCTTTTCTATGGTGAAATAATCGGTAAAAAATATAGATTTACATAAAGTAGATGAAACTCGGGGGAATAAAGTGTCAATCCACACAGTCATCCACCAGGGAGCATCAGTATGGAGGTAGCGAAAAATAAGGATATTTAATGATATGCTCTTTAAATGGCCTATGGGCTTTGACCTTTGATATTCTCTTGTTGATTGAGAGTCAGCTGGCGTTGAACGTGACCCCGTATGTCTCCCATGGCGCTTACGTATTGCACCAGGAGTTCAGTGACCACTTTTAAATCCGGGTTGTTTCCTTGCCGACCACCTTTACCCCCATATGATAATGTTCTCACGGCGGCAGAGGGGGAGGAGGCACATACGTCTTCTCTTCCATTTGTTGAATTCTGATATATGTCAAGTCCCCAAGACGCTCTCCCTAGTAGCTAATCTAACTAACATCCAACCTCCTCAGAAGTCGAGGCTTAGACACGAGAGCTATACTGTATAGTGCGCCTTTGATCTACTCGTTAATGAAGAGTTACCGTTGGAGAGTCCTAAGAGCTAGTAAGGTGCCTGAGAATGTTTAATATCTCTCAATATGTTATTACTAAATTATTAAGATGAGTTTTCTAGTTCAGTCTGAGCCAAAATGTACACTATTCTGAAAGGGGCTCGGTTTAATGCGACGGTCTGAAGCGTAGAGAATATTTACCGTATTCAGGGAAGGAGGCTGGTGACACACACTTATAAAACAATACACAAAATGTTGAAGAAAGAAACACATTTTCTCGCGGCTGCTTCATTTTCGTGGACATATACACTAATGTTGTGTTAGGTGCTGAAACTTTACCTGAGTTCTGTTAGTCCTGAAAGTTGACGTAAAGATTAGCAAGGTTCTAAGGCTAAAGGTTCCTACTTAACAATCATCTACCAGAGTCACACTTACCGTACCATCATAAGGAATAATAAGGGAAGAATTAATGTTATGATCAACCATTTGTGTTCTATCCTCAGCAGCTGGTGAAGAATAAGGATTACTGTGATTCCTTTATGTTGATTTGGTCATGTCCACTTTCTGTTAATTTAGTCATATCTGTTTTCTGTTAATTTGGTAATATCCACTTTCTTCGCTCCTGTGGGGGTTCTCAGACTTCACATATTGCAGCGAGAACCTGGAGTTACTGTAGAGAATGAAGTACAGATGTAGCTGAGGTGTAGTAGAGAGGTAGGAGTGTGTGTGTGGGGTGTGTTTCAGGGAGGTCACGATCTCAGTTTCCTACTGGAGATCTAGAGGTTTCTTTTGGTCACTCAGCCTTCAGGATCCTTCTTCAGTAAAAGCTGTGTTCTTTGTTATTTTCCCTCCTATGCGGGACATTTCAGACAGGAGCCGGGATGGTCTCCTTCACCATTAGTGCTTCCCTCCGCTTATGAAGTTAGACTGTCTGCAGAGTAACCCTTATTTTAGCCTTCTTGTGCCATCACGACCATGTGTCTGATAGGTGAAGTGTGTTAAAAGGTTATTGATAAATGCCTGAACTGTAGTCTTCGTATCCTACAGTATCTATGTTACTGTAATTTGCATTTGTCAAAGGTTACAGTCACCAACCGCCAACCAACCTTGTTTATAAATCCGATAACAATGATATCTTCATCTGTCACAATATAACTCGTACACCTGACATCCCCGCACGATATTAATTAAACTCTTGTATGGCTTCTGGTGGGCAGGAATGGAGCTGACAAGGTTATAACAATGAAAGTATCTCAGATTGAGGACGTTCACCGCTTAAGCTGTCGATATAACCTAACCAGATTACCACAAGCCAGTGTTTCTCATGTTGTATGTCTGGGGTTTTCATAAATTACTTTCTTGATAGAGGAAAGTTAAGTGAAACTAGAGGAGTAGAACCCGTAGAGTGGATGGTCATGTAAGGGGGCGTGTTTTCCTACACCTACACCACCCTTATCTTACTTACTTCTCTTATCTTTAGTTCTTACTCTTACTCAGTTCTTTTGGTAGCATGGTCGAAGGTCTAGGCACATGGGTATGGTAATTCTGGTATCAAGTCACTTGGGCGGAAATAAAGGTAAAATACTGTGGGAGAAATGAATACACCTAAAATACTCTAAGAACAAATTTATTAATATAATATCAAAGGGAAAAAGAGGTATTATTAACATAGAACTACCAGGCTCAACTCCTGGGCTTATTGCAGACTCAGTACTTCTTTCTTTACTTATTTTCTTATTTCTTTACTCAACAGTAATTACTCAGATCTTACACTCTTACTGCACACAACCTTACTGGTGTTACATTACATACATAGCAGGACCAGTTCCTTGGCCCTACTCACAATACATAGTACATGGCACTCATTGTAGATTCCTGTACTTCTCACACCTACTGGTGGTACGTGGCATTACAGTACAGATACAAGACTTTACTCAACATACACGTTAATACTGAAACCAGCCGATACATTGGTCCACTACCCAACATGGGATAATTATTGCCAACTAATTATCCCTAACATACATATTACAACACCCTCTGTGGACATATACTTCCAGGGTGCGTCCCAGGGTAGAACACTGAGATTCACGACCGTTGTTATGGTCGGTGGTGGCCAGACACATGGCGAGTCTGGGGTCTGGCACTAAGAGGCAGTGGAGCATATTAATCAGGCCGCATCGGTGCCATCGTTCCATATATGGTTCCTGCTGGGTTTCTACTACATCCGGGGCAGTTGTTGAGTGATGCACGAATCACAAGGGGATCTGGAGAAACGTTGGAGAGCGTCAGGGGACGGACTGGGAAGCATGAATACACAAACGAATCCCTTGTCTAGACGACAGACATATTTACGTTATAGTACTTCTTACACTGGGTGAATGACAATTCAACTGATGAAGCATGAACACTGATGAACACTGATATTCACTACAAATTGACTGAATCAAACTGAATGGCTTCACATAAACATACCTGGAGAAACGTTGGAGAGCGTCAGGGGACGCTCGCCCTGATGATGATGATAATGAAGTAAAGTGGCAAATGACTTTGCACTGGGAAAGGAGAGGAGAGAGAGAGAGAAG